TATGTAATTAATGTATGTATGTATGTACGTACGTATGTATGTATGTATGTATGTATTCATGAAAAACAAAAGACACAACAAACAAGCAAACACACAAGCAAGCAAACAGACAAACAAACAAACAAACAACCAAACACGCAAACAAACAAACAAAGATACAGACATACAGACAGACATACACACACACAGAGAGAGAGAGAGAGAGAGAGAGAGAGAGAAGGGGGGGGGGGCAACCCCTTGCGCCACAACCCTGGCGAAAGAGAGAGAGAGAGAGAGAGACAGACCATGACATGAGACTCGCAGTCGAAAGGGTGCAGCAGGCGCCTAGAGTCGTTGTGAAAGTCTGACAGTTTTTCAAACTAACGAATTCGTTGTATTAGCAACCCGGTGATAGTAATGATAGTCGTAATTCATCCTGTTGTTTCCCAAGTGCTGAGGTTTCAGGGCCCGGCGAAGCCGGAGTCTTCTAACCCCTTTGACAGATCTCTTCACGATCGGGGCAGCTCGGGATAAGAAATGGAGGAGTTTGTGATTCCTGGTTTCGTGTGTCGGGGGTGATGAGAGGGATGCGGGGGAGAAGGGGGGCATCATGAACGTGGTACCCTTAGAACTTAGAATCCTTGGTTCTCTTGCAGCAGGTCCGGATTCCTGCAGTGGTCTCTCCAGGTTCGAGTCTAGTGTATAAAGGTAGTCACATGCTCGTGTTTGACGCGGCTCTTCGGATTGTGGCTTCATCTTCCGAGATAGTGGGTTGCCCAAACCGGCCGAACTTGATGGTGAATGCTGAAGCCCTGAACCCGGAATCACGAATTTGTAGACCAAGCTGAACCGTGAAAACCTAGCCCTGACCCCAATCAAAAAAGAAATCCAAGGCGAGTGCAAGCCCTGCGCATGGTTCTGGACCCCCGGCGGCTGCCAGAAAAGTGACTCGGCCTGATATGGCCGCGAGGGACGAGGTGTGTTGCGGATTCTGTTCTATTATGTTCTATACCATGTCATATCATATCATGCTATATTATACCATGTTCGCTTTTATTCCTTTATGATGCTATATGAGCCTTCTCGTCTCCTCCACACCGAAACGGAGGGAGTGAGGGTTCCTGCAGGAGTCGTCTGCAAACCCCCGGGCCTCCATCCACTCCAGCTGAAAAGGTCTAGTTGTGATTGGTACAGTATCATGGCCCGAAGCGACCAATGGCTCAAGGTGTTTGCGGAGATCCTTTTAATGCTTCGAAACATCTCGTGCCATCAATAGCAACTCACAGCAGCATGGCATTGAATGCTTCCATCACGAGATGCACAGATAGATCTCCTAGCGGAAATTTCACGTTCTTCCTCATGGCTCGCGTCATTCTGGTGGGCCTTGTTTTGTCGTTCCAGCCACTTGCTGGCGACGCTTTTGGTGCACCGCTGACAGAATGGCAAGAGCAGGTCTTCGGCGAGGTGGAGAAGAGTGCAGCTGAGCAGTCAAAAGCTGCAGAGCCTGAGCTCTTGGCCCTCTTCGATTCGGAAGACTTCCGTGCGAACCTTTCCTCCTGCTGCCCGTCCTTAGCGGAACTAACGGCCAAGGAGCTGTTGGACAGGGTCTCCAAGCAGATGGGGGTGGCCGAGGTTGCGTCTGGCTTCCCTGCAGACCAAGATCCCGCCCAGATGTTTCCAGATTCCCCCGGTATGTCTATTGGCTTCGGCATGAACGGCACATTCTTCCTGAATGACTGGCAGGCTGTTTTGGCGCACTCCTCGGATCCAGAGCATGTATGGCATGGTCTCCTAGCGACATATGTGGGATTCCATGTCAATTCCTCCAAGGGGGCCGTGACCGTGGAGCAGTGGTTTGGCGGCTGTTCCGGCAACAAGACTACGCCTCTCGAGATGTTACTATCAACATGCTATGAGCAGCCCTTTTCCAAGGGCATGAACATGATCATTCGCTACGACTATGAGCCAGGTCAGGTTACCAGTTCCATGTGGATGGCTGGCAACAACTCGAAGGTCTTCAGCGGCTGGCAAAGCCCATCTTTATCTTTGGAAACCAACGGAGTGATAAAGAAAGTGGACTGCCCGACAGATGCGCCATTCGCCACACAGATCTATGTGGCAGATGGCCATTGTCACATCTATCCGACGGAAAACAACTCTAAAATGTTCTGTCAACAAGATCACGCAGAGACCGACTTGTATGGCATGAAGCCATTCCGGTCCTGTGGGGCGCCATCAACTCTTAACGAAGCTGACGAGCGTCCGGTCTATTCCATGGTCAACTTGAACATGATTGACATGGGAAGTCCCATCTACGGTGACGTCTCTGCCGTTTTTGCGCAGAAGTACATCGCCAACAGCAGCCTCTTGTCTCCGGTGGACACTGGCATGGTCGAGATGGGCTGCCTTGGCAAGGAGGCGTTTCCATGGGCACCTCCACACAACTGCAGTGCTGTAACAGCCTTCAAGCAGCTAGGTACTCTGCAGCACAACAAGCACCTCTTCTTGATTAACAAGGGCTTCTGGCCTGGTCTTGGTCTCCTACACACCACCTTAGAAAGGATGGAGGCTCCTTGGGGGCGTAATGCCGTACCAGGCGGCTCTTTCCTGAACTACTTCGAGGGTGCACTCCTAGGTCGATTACAGTTTCCCTCGGCAATTCGTTTCCTCATCGGCGCTTTCCCGGCACTCTTCGGCACCGACATGGGGGTCCGCTTACAAGCCTGGGCAAGGAGCCGGGGTTGGGTCTTGATTTGGGCACTTGGCTCGAATGAGAAGGCCGTCCCCGGAGCAACTTCAAATTTCAATTTTCAGCTGCTGGCAGGGCACACGTCCTTCGAAGTCAACAAGCGCATGATTGATCCCGTTGTCCTTTCGGAGACGACGGCGGCGGCAAGCTTGCGCTTGGGCTCTGATGTAACCGACAAGTTCAAACAGATGTGGGCAGCGGTTGCCAACCTACGGAACACAACCACAGTCACCAATGCGACCGTGGCACAGAAATGGCAAGAGACTGCCATCCTTCTTCCGCAGCTTGCGATCCGTCCTCTAATGGGTGGGGACTGCGAAGTGCAGCTGCTGAACGCCGAGTGCATTGGAGTGACGTTGCAGGGCAGCTGCGTCTGTTATGCAAGCAAGGAGTTCGCCAGCCCTCAGGAGATTGTCGTGGTGTGAGTTATGGGGCTCGCAGGCAACGGTGTCACCACGGTGAGAGTCTGATTTCATTCAGATGTACAATGTACAGTTTGTCCGCCCTGGTGAGGAATCACTATGAATCAGATCTCTGCACGGCCACCACAGGAAAATGCGGCAGTTTCTGCGCCAAGCTAAGTTCGATAGTAGAACCTCTGCGAGTTGTCTTGATCGTAATTTAATAGGAACAGAGGCAAGTGCAAAGTCAGTGGCAGAATTTGTCGCACAAGTCTTCGCGACAAATTCGTGATTTCATGTAACTATGTGGGACAGATGAGCCGTCTGTACAGGTAGACCTTCGAAGTCTACCTCGCCTGAAGTGTCCGAGTTTCGAGAGCCCTTTAACCCGGATGTAAACCAAGGGAAAACGCCCTAAACCCTAAACCCTAAACCCTAACGCTAATCAGGAGACCTGAAGTCCCTAGCCTCCAGGCGACACGTGCGAGTTTTGCCATCTCTGCCCCGCCGGCGAGCTGAAGGCACGAAGGAAGCAGCGGCTTCAGGAGCTGCGTGCCTCACCTGCTGCAGTGTATGTTTGCATGTTTGTATAATATATATGTATACATATGTGATATATACATATATATATATATATATATATGTGTGTGTGTGTGTTTAAATATATTATATATGTATACACATATAAAAGTTATATGCATATACATGCGCACACACAGCTGTATAGAAACATGCGGAGTATGTCCATTGGGTTGCACAAACAAGTTTTGGACTTCGACCGGAACTTACAGCGAGCACAAGCGTCCACACCGAGCACAAGGTTGAAGACCCAAAGAGCCAACGTGCCAGTGTGTTGACACGTCCATCGCACCACCAGCATAAGCTGGCAAGCTCATCAAGGTGCGGTCATCTTGCGCGTGTTGCTGATACCGGCTCTGCTTGATTTCCTGTTATCACCAACACACATGTCTTATCATAGCTAGCTGTCACTGCTGGTATCTTTGTGATTCCTTCTGTCTGTTTGAAGGCACTGCTGGCGCTAGCTGCTAGCATTGAGATGCCTGATACGCTTGCCCTGAGGAGTGTGACAGTGCTGGCCATTAAATCTTGAGGTCACAGCGTGATACTGTGCAGGGCGCTCTCGCCACTCAAAGGTGCATGGCTGAATTTTTGTTTGGCACGGCTGACTATCATTTGACCGATGTTTGGTTAGACCGTGTCCTTCTGCATATCGTTGTTCAATCATGTTCTTGTCATCGCTGGGGCCTACGATGATTCTGGAACTGCCTCTCTTGTAAAGGCAGACGTTTCCTGGAGCATTGCCAGTCGTCTGCCACGGTACTTTTCGTAATGCTCTTATCATCTTGTTGGTTTTGTCTCGTCATGGTCGATTTGCTGTCATGTTCCTGGGATTTTCTGCCGTGCCAAGCATTGTCCTTGCGTTTTATTTTTGTTGTTTGGATGAGCAACCAAAAGTCAGCGAAACACATCATAGCCGCTCCTGGCCCAAAGCCAGACACCTTCAAACAGAAATGCAAGCATGACAGAGCAGAAGCACGTGCAGCCGCATGCACCCAACTCTTCAAAACCAGAGGTATCAAAGCCTTCCAAGGTGCCCTGAAACGTGGCGAGGTTCCGTTAGAGCCCAAGGCGTGCTGCTCAGCTGTCAGTCCAAGATAGAGGGCTTAGGGTTTTAAGGAATCACTGGGATTCACTGGGGGTCGGGCGAGTTACGAACTCACACAGGTCAATAGCCATGCCTCGCGTCTCCACCTCAAGACCGTTCGGGAGACTTTGCAATTGGGACAGCTCTGCAAGGGACCTCTCGCTTGAACTTCTTCTCCAAACAGGGCTTGGGAATTGTGCGGGAGAGACTCCTCGAAAGCACAATCCCACAGCAGAGCAGTGATCGTTCCAAAGTTTGAGTAAGTTCCAGGTTTTGCGAAACACTGGCAGCAGCGAAGGTACTCGTTACGACTTCAGGACTTTCGTGTGCGTAGACAAAGGCGAGCGGGGCGAGCGATACGAACAAGCGAATCAACATGTTCAGCTTTGTGGCCCTCGTCAAACATTCGACTGGTATCACAAGCTCCCTTGAACTCGACACCCCGACCCCTGAACCCGAAAATGCACACGACTCAGGTCATCGACTGTGAAGCTTCGCCCTCATCGATGGGAGAGTCAAGCACGGAATCTGCCCCGGCAGATTCTGGCCGATGCCTCGAATCAACTGACGAAATTCAGCATGAGGGGCTTAGACAGGCTCGATGTCGGGGTCAGGGCTTAGGGAGCCAAAGCCTATTCCGATGTGTTTCTCGCGGCTGGGATTCCATGCGAAACTAAGACCCAAGGGCGATAGTTATCTTGTTCTTTTTGAGTTCGCATCGACAGTAGGATGTAGCAATTCGGGCTTCAGTCTTAAGTCGGGTCAATGCATCCCTCCTCGAACCGGACAAGCCTCGCCTGCATCGTTCGAGATGCGAGAGTCCCAACCTAAAATCCTAAACCGCAGAGAATCGGGCTCGGGCGCACTCGTCCTGGCCCGGGCCTTCCATGCCAAAATAGCCTTTGAGGAACCCCTACCCCCTTCATCAATACCCACATGCCTCTGAGTATCATTGTCTGCTTTGGTTGTGGGAGTATTATTGGTACAAGTCTTGCTTTTTTGGTGTTATGATTGGTGGCAATACAGAGCACGTCGAAATGGGAGCTTGCTTTGTTTAACAGGAAATGTGTTATGTTCTATTTCCTTCAAATATTCCAAATTTCTTCTAATTGGTAAGGCCCGTGCACAGGACCTTTTATTTAGTCACACGTATGGAGCCCTTTAAAACATCCTAATGTCACAGTTGCAATCATATTTGTGCCTGCCCTGGCGTGCCCCAACAGAGCTAGTGTAGGAGCTTCAAAGGGTGTGATGTTAATTCCTTGTTAGCCCCGACAGTAGCGCAGGCTTAGCAGGGGAAACCTTCAACCCAACACCCGAAGCCCTGGACTCCGAACCCCTGCTAAGCCTTTGCCTTGTGCGAGTGTGAGAGTCGAAACCCTTACAACTTAGGGTTTAGGGTAGCTTGGAGGCAATTCATATAACTATTCATAGAGACCTCGTTCAAAAAGGGTTTAGGGCTTAGAGTTAATGAACTTGCAGTATCGTCTTCAGACCTTCGCTGGCTTGTCCGAGAGTGACCGAAAAACCCTAAACCCTAAAATTCATTCCGAGTCGCGGAGACCACCTTCCGGATCGCTAATCTCTAAACCCTAAACAGTCGGAAAAAAAATTGTCAAAAAAGAACCCGAAACCTCACTTTTCGGATCGAGGCCCGGTGCGGGCTTTACCCTCCATTGGCTCGGCAGCGCATGGGGTCGATTGCCGACCTTGTGCCTGGCTCCTTGGGTTCAGGGTTTAGGGGGCGATTGCACAAGTCCTGATGCAAAAAAGGGAGTATTAGTCAGTATTAGGGTTTAGGGTTTTGTGGTTTGAGGTAGTGGCCTGCCTTTCGTAAGGAGTTTTTACAAGGTTCTAATGTATGGGTTCTACACGGGTTCAAGAAGGGTTCTATGGGGGCACTATAGGATTCTTGAATGGAGGGCGGTCGGAGGGTTTAAGGGTTTCAGAGTTTTGGCTGAGTGGGGTTGATAGTTTGAGAGGTGTAGGCTCAGAGTTTGGAGTTCAGGAGTTGGTGTGAGGGCTGAAAGTTTCGAGTTTAAGATTCGAGTTTAGGGCTTTGGCGATGTCGAGCTTAGGCTTTTCTGCTGTCAAACCAAGGGGTCACAGGGATATCTGTCGGAGATTGTTCTTTCCGGGACCAATCATCGCGTTCTTCGTGCCTGCAAGATGCTAGGTTCTGGAAAAGTGAAGGATGCAAGAACGGCAAGGCATGCAGGCACTGCCACTGGAACGCACTTGGTAAATGCCGAAGGTTTGAGCGCATGACGGAGAAGTGTCAGCAAATGCATGGCTGGTGGCAAAAACCCCAGGTCACCTGTGTCCGGAGGGCGAGATTCGTCGCAAGAAGAAGATAAAGCAGGACTTCCATACACATTCCTAGATTGCACGGCCTATTCGTCAATTTCGTACAGTCGAGTACAGACCGGATAGCAAGTGCCATATAGCTTGACACAAACTCGTTTACCATCTCCAGGAGGACATCAAGCAAGCCGTGGCATCGCAGCGTGGCCCGCCCAGGGATGAATTCATCAGTTCAGGACTTCAGCCTGGGCGTTTTACGTCGGGGTTCGGTGTGAAGACTGCCGTGGCTGATGCATGTACGGTGTACGTCCCAGGTGCTCAACAGCAACTACAGGACCACCTCGTGCAGATGCAGATGTTTCAGCAGATGCCCGGCACTTGTCGCTGTCGTGGCAGACCTGCGCAAGGTGTGATGGCTGTTGTCGTTTCCAGATTCTGAGGCAGGCATCCATGATGGTGGCGAACATGGTCCAGATGTCACAAGCTGCCCGGAAGCACTTTCATGCGTAGTTCTTTTTGTGCATCATGTCCATGCAATACCTCGTGTCACATGGTTACGTCTCTTGAGCTGGCACCAATCTGCCGCAAGCGAATGATCTTTCATGTTGTCTAGCAGAGGCAGCCCAAGTTCAAATCTAGTCAGAGCCAGCAAACCAAGGCAGCATTTCAACCCTTCTCGTGACGGCTTCGACCTTTTGTTCAGAGCAGCATAAGCGTGCCGCTGCCAGAAGACTGCAGATTTTCACACGTTTATGGTTCTGTTGGACAACCTGATCGTCCCGACAGGCTGCACCGTCTTAGATGTGTGCAGCCTGTCGACACAATTAAGTTCTGCTCGAGTCTTGTGCGTCACATGGCTGACGGCCTGCAGGGCCTACAGTGGGACTTTTTTTGCGGATGCCGCAGAGCAGACGGTACGTAGGCCAAACCAACTGCGGAACACACTTTTCCTGTAACTAGAACCGGGTGTGAGATCTTGTTTTGAATCTTTGCGGCAACGTTGGAGCTGTCTGCGGGGTCTCGGCCCCTCAGTTGCTCCGCGATGTAGTTCGTTTGGAAGGCTTTTTGGAAGGCTTAATGCTCGCGTTCCCCAAGACATGACTCGCTGGGAAAGGCCAGGGAGTTTTTTCCCTTGGATGGCGCGAGGTGTTTTCCATCAGGCAAATGGACAGCCCCATGCTGGCAAGCAGCAGGTTTGCCGCAACTGGGACCTTTGTAAGTACGACTCTGCCCACCACTTGGCCATTCATGTGGCTGGGACTTCGAGCAAAACGGCTGCACTTAGCCCTTCTGGGCATTTCAGGCTCTAAAGTGACACGCACGCCCTCCGAAAGTCATCACTGTCAGATGATTAAAACGTGGCGCAAGCTACGGCAGACCTTCGGCTAAAGAGACCTCCGTAAGCCGTAAGTGCCGTAAGTTTTCTCAACGCACATTAACTTCACCTCATAGCCTCGGAAGCTCGTGGGAGTCATAGTTTTGCATCCTCTTCCAAGGGCTCTTCGCTCGTTGTGCTCTTTGATCTCTCTCCTTCTCCCTCCGTGTCCGTGCCCATCACTCTGTTTACATGTGCAGGAATAAGTAGTTGAAGGCACACATGACACAACGAATCTGCTCAACTCGGGACCTCTCATGGTCCTGAGCGCAGGGTCCCCTAAGCCCTAAACGCCCTAAGCCCAAAAAGCTTAAACCCCTAAACCCTAAAGCTAAAGGTCCCAAACCCTATAACCCCAAACCCCTAAACCCAAAGGTCGGTTGTGGATTGACTTTATGTCTGCAGTGTTCTTGTGGGGGACAAGCTCCTAACGTGGGGTTTTTTCACGCAGTCCGACGAGCCCGGGATCCGTGCCTGCTTCGTGCGAGTGTGGGAATCGAAACCTTAAAACCTGTTAAGCCCCTAAAGCCCCAAGCCTTATAATCCTATGAAGCTTACAACCGAAACCCCAAAAGCCTTATAAGCCTTACAAGGCAAAACAACCTGACAGCTCTTTGAACCCTGTACCTGTGGAGGTGCTGCGACGCCCACCGCTTGGGTCGCCGCCTGGGGCGCCGCCTTGGCAATCTCGGCTCAGGCTTGTTCGGGTCTCGTAGTAACACAATAGAAGCCGTGGGAATAGGTATCGGTATCTAGGTGCAGGCATGTATATGTATATGTATGAGTGCACTTTTATATTATACATGAGTGTATATAGGCCCGACGGCTGCGGCCGCGGATCGTGGCGTTGTATTGTAGTATGGTAAAGTATAGATTTCGTACCATATAGTATATCATAGTACAGCACGGTACAGCATAGCACACGTTATTACCATCCCAGTAAATTTTGCATATGTTATGCTACTTCTAAACCCAAACCCTGAGGCGCGGAGGAGAGCAAAGGGCTCCAGTTCCCGTGCCCCGCGGTCCGTGGCCTGTGCTGCCATGGGTGGAAGTAAGCCTCTTGGGCAGCAGCTAAGACTGGGGTTTGGGTGTTGCCGCCTAAAACTACTACTGCTTGTGGTATGAGAGCACGGGGAGCATGCAGGGTCCCAAAAAACAGGGCAATCGGTGATCGCGTCGCATCCAACCCTAGTCACCTCCATTTTCGGTTTGACCATCAGACCGCCGCGATCAGAATCCTTGCAGGCAATCGAAAAGCAAGCCTGGGCTCTGCTCCATCAAGGTACTATACTCTACTCTTTTCCACTCTGCTAGACTGCTAGACTTACTTTAGTATAACTATACTATTTACTATTTACATTCTGCTATATACTTTGTACGTCTATTACTATACTATCGGATTTGAGTTCGTAAGACGGAGCTTTGGAAGCGGCCCTTTTGCCGCGGAGCCTTCCCAACACTTGCCTCATGTTGCTGCTTTTGACTTGTCGTCACTTTCAGATGCAGCTTTGACCCTAAACCCTTTTAAACCTTATACCCCTACACCCTAGACCCAAGCCTTTCTGCCTGAAGTCGTATCACGCCGACCCAGACCCATGGAATCTCGCCCGGCATGTCCGAGTTGTGAGAGCGTAAACCCTAGACCCTCTATACAAACCTCGAAGTCTTAAACCATTAAACAATGGACAAGCTCAGGCGAACCCTGGATATACAAGATATACATGCATATCCTGAACCCCCAAAGGGAGATGAACCCCAAAAATCTCAGGCGAATCCTGGTGATGGGAGGGACGAGGTTTATCGGCTGCTACTTGGTGGCGAAGCTCCGTGAGCTCGGACATCAAGTGGTGGCCTGGCGAGATTTCTGATACGACGGTGTCGGCGTAGGGGCTAGTCAAGTCCTACCCTAGTCTAATGTGGTATGATATAGCATAGTACTGCAGAGTATAGCTGAGTATAGCATAGTAGTATCGTAGTTTAGCGCCCTTGTCCTGTTTTAGCGCCCCGTCACTGCATGCGTCCTTTTGGCTGGTGCCCTGTAAGGTGGTCTGCAACCGTGGAAAGACAAATGGTGGCCTTCCAGATGCTTGAATGCAGCAGCATCGAATAACAAGGTATTAAGTTTAATAAGTTTTATTATTTTTTTTACCAGGCCGTCTGCCAAGAGGTCAAAGTCAGGGGGTGCAGATGGAGTGCCAAAGTGATTCGAACACATTATTCTACACACTATGATATACTATGATGTACGATTAGTGCAGTATGGTATAGTACAGTATATTATACCGCTATGCTGTACTATACTATCATGCTACACTAGCTGTTGCTACCTGGGCTGTACTATACATTCCGCTTCTCAGGAACGACTGCCGGGGATTGGCGATGCCCAGTACCAGCAGATGCTCGAGGCAGCTTGTGTAAAGAGACTTAGACTGAGTCACTCGGGTTACACAATTGAGGGTTGATGGGGTTTAGGGGACGTGAAGCGCCTTGTTTGGGGGGTGCAAAGCGCCTTGTTGCCAGGGTGTGACGGTGCTGCAAGCAGACCGAAAGAACCCGGATCAGCTGAAGGCGGCGGTGTCTTCAGACGCTCAAACGCAAGGGTTGGAAGGCAAATGTTGTTGACTGGGACCCATCAAGATCTCAGCTTGTATGTCCTCAACCGTCCATGTGCGGAGAATCAACACATGCCGCCTTACCAAGCCTGTCACACCAAGGCGGGAAAATTCGACGTGGTATTTGACAACAACGTGCGGAAGCTCGAGGACATTCAGCCACTGGTGCAGGGCCTCCAGGCCCTAGGTTGTGCCGTAGCTGCCGGATGGCCGAAACAACATGCCTGCATGAGGAGAAATTGGAAGTTGGTGGTAAGGTTGTGGGTAGTGCGACCTTATAGTTATAGTGGTTGCCCCTCTTGCGTGGAAGGGAAGACTTGCTTGTAGTAGCGATCCTGCTTGTTGCCGACAATGGAAATTTCTAGTGCTGCCCGTCCGATTCGTTTTCGCTCATCAGGCTGGTTTTCAATTGCTTGTGGCATGCATGACTGTTGTACCCGGCTAAGACAGAACCCCAGCGGCTGAACTAGATGTAGGTACGAGGGCACCATAGCCGGCAGTCCGGAGAGGCAAGCGGCGGCTGTGAGCAGTTCATCATCATGAGCAGCGCCGGGGTGTATGGGCCGACGGACGTCTTGCCGCTCAGCGAGTCTACGCCGGGGGATCCCAACTCTCGTCACAAGGACGCCGATTGCCCCACCAGGTAAGAGGTGAGATGACTGCAAGTGTCCTTGCAAATGCAGGACAAGCTGGCCTGCGAGAATTTCCTGGACTCGGGATTTCTCGGAACACAGCGAATACAGTGTGTCAAACATGAGGTGAGATCCTTCGAGATTATGGGTATAACCAGCGTGTCTACTTTGGTGAATACATCCTTATGACGTACCAACGCCCCAGAATAGCGGGGCTTAATTTATCAGGGCTTTTTACATCTGAGGCATAAAAAACCGACTTGGCAATTGTTGTCTTACTGTGTCTGTTTCTGGCTTTATTTGTTTTTATTTGTCATTATTTGATTTTACAGTTTTTATGTTGATCCTTTTTGTTTTTTTGTGATTGATATATGGGGTCTGGCAGTATTGGGTCTTGGGGTATGGGGGTGCGGGGAAACGGGGTTCCGGCCTAGGGGTGTAGGATGTGGGGTTTGGGGTAGGGTTTCCTTGCTGGGACAGGACCCTAGAACCTGGAAGAAACTCAAGAAGGGACCGGGCCCAAGGACCCAGAAGAAATTCAAGAAGGGACGGGACCCAAGGACCCAGCAGAAAATGTGTGATTAGCGGCCATGGTGCTCTCCCCGAGCCGGTCGAAACAAGAGCCAAGGGGCCCATCAAGAAGCGCAAGGCAGCAGCGACTGTCCCTGAACCCGACCCTTTTCTATGTAGCCCCACAACGGCTCCCGTAGATGGTCAGGATGCGATTGTGTGTGCGAGCCATGGCTGCACTGACCATGTTTCCTCTCACGACAACACCCTCTACAACCAGGAGTACCTCACCATCCACAACAGGCCGAGTGCAGCTGTTGGTCGATGGAGCTCGAAAGAGCCAAGTGCATCCAACGGTGAATCTCGGCTTTCATCGTCTACTGCACCTTCTTCACTTCGTCTTCGGGGCGGCCACGTTTCCCACAACCACGAGCACTGCTGGTCGATGGTGCTCGGAAGGGCGAAGTATATCCGGCGGTGGATCTCGGCTTTCATCGTCTACTACACCTTCTCCACCTCTTCGAGGCAGGCGGGTTTCTGGAGCGAGAGACAGACCTGATGTGCACACTCCGTCTTTGCAACGCTGCCACGATTGGAAGCTCGGCACTAGATTCGGAGAAGCCAGCAACCCGGGACCTGGGCCCGGCACGAACCACAACCTCCTTGAGGGGCTCGGCTTGAAAGAGATGACATCCGTGAAATGGTCAGAGAGGCTGTGAAGGAGCTCAGCAGAATCCTGCTGCTAAGGTCGGCAAAGACCGTGGAGGTGATAAGCCAGTCGCCTCTCCCAGCGCAGACACCGAATGGAAGACGGTTGAGCGTCGTGCTCCGCAGGCTGAGTTCATTCTCCGCCCACAAGATTGGGATGCGCCTTTGCTTCTTTTCTCTGAGGTTGCTAAGGCGCTTGACAGCACGAAGGATGGGGCTTGTTTTTCTGCTGTTGTGCGATGCGCTTCTGAACAACGTGCAGGACTTAGCAGGATTTTCGCCGGAAGCAAGCATGCCTACAGTGTCTTAGCTGTGTCTATCGGCAGAGAACAGGACCAAGCTGCTGATACGCAGCGTCGGGTCTTAGGTCGTGTCGGGGACTCACTTGCATTCAGGCAGGCCACCGTGGTGCAATTTAAGTCTGCTCAGAATGGCACCGTTCTGCAGCCCAAAGGGATGAGGCAGCAGGCGGTGAAGATTGTCACGAAGGCGACCGAAGTTCTCGTGGTGCGGGTTTCGAAAACCCTTGCATCCAAGGAGCCCTGGGAGGCTTTTGAGAAAACTCCTCAGAAGTGCATTGTACAATGGCTTGCCGGCAGACATGTCAATGCATTGGACAGCTTTGCTTGGAAAGCTGAGAAAGGGGATGCTCAAGGACATCAATTGTACGGTTTGGTCCGATTGCTCAAACCGAGGCCGAAGCCGTCCTTCATGCCTCGGGCCAGGATGGGTTTTTCTTGGACCCGACGAGGTCAATGCAGGTCAAGGGCCGGATTGAATGGGTGGAGCGTCGCAACAAACAGGAGAGCCACTCTGAGCATTATGCCAGTGCCATCAAGTGTGCTGGTGACCTTGGATTGATTGTCAAAGACAACCGTTTGGCTGTCCGTCGCACACTTAAGGCCGATGACAAGGTTTGAAAATCTGGATCTTTGAGCACGTGCCGCTCACTGTTGACCCGGAACAGGCCAAGACCATCTTGGAGAAGTCGTTCGTCGAGGTCACCATGATGAGGGCCCGGGGTTCTAAGGGTGGGCGCACTTTCTTTTTCAAGGGTGCTCACGCTACCAATCCCGATGCCGACCTGGTGCCGATCAGCTTGGATACTGGAGATGGGATCGTCACGGCATGGGCTAGAGTTGCACCGCCTCGCACCGAGAAGTTGCAGCAGCGACAGCTTCCTGTGACAGCGGTTCCGCTTGAGGCCAAGCACACTTTGCGCTCCACCACACCTGTTCCGGTGCCGACGGAGTCAGGGGCATCCCAGATGTCTCTTGAATTCTCTTGAGGTGCTCGAGGACTGGCTACGGTGCGGACGTGTTACTTGTAGCTATCACAGGCAAGAGGACCTCGCGACCGGCCTTGACTTGCCTGCGCCGGGCGTCATGGACTTCTGCTTCTTCTTGGGTCACAAGAAGGTCTTCGGCTACGCCACTTCGCAGTCTCAGCGACGTGCTGCAGCTGCTACTGGTGGCTCTGTGTGGTACTGGACAGCAGGCCAACAAGTTGATCTCAACGACCCCCGGTGTGTTTGCTTGTGCGGCCAGAAGGCACCGTCAAGAGCCCATCTCACGTGGGTCTGCAATGCCACGGCTCAGCGCAGGTCCGGTTTGGATGCTCCTGTTCACCGTGCTGAAGAGCGACTTTGTGCTCGTGGGCTTCAGTGGCCGCCACCCCCGCCGAGGTTGAACAAGTCAGTGGCGGCAGTTTCGGCTTCCAAGACTTTGAGTTGACTGATCCTGAGGACTCCGCTGGGCCATGGCGGACGGCTCAACTCGAGACGGAATGGCGCCTACAGCGTTGCCCTTCCCGGTGGGAGAGGCGGCGGCTCCGGCGATGGTGCTGAAGACCAAGGTTTCCGGAATGAGCTCAAGGCCCTGCAAGTGCTCTTCCAGGCGGTGCTGCTGGCAAGCCAGCGTGGGCTTTCTCCTCGAGTACTGTGGGTCGTGGTAGACTGTCAGGCGGCTCTGCTCAGTCTTCGGACGCCTAGCGCTTCGTGCCTCCCACTTCTGGCTTCGAGTGCCGCGGAGGCGTGCAAACGCCTACAGAAGGCGGGCTGGCAAGTGCGACCCTTTTGGTGCCCGTCGCACAGGAAGCGCCTTGACTGGAGCGCTCCGGCGCCTTTGTCTTCGGCGCTGTGTCGGCCGATGCGCATGCGCGGCGCGCGATGGAGCGCCGCCGTGAGGGATCCTTGCGAGTCAGACGGCTCGCGTTGGCGGCTCAGACAAGCCAGTGGGAAGAACGGGCCATCTTGGCTTCTGCAAGTGCCGGTGAACTGTTCGAAGTGAAAGAAGCTACTCGGCGGCTTCGTGCCGCTGCCACTGCTTTGGTCTAGCTGGCTAGGCTTTTCGCTTCACTGTCTTCTGTGTGACGCCCAGTTGGCTTGTGGTAGGCCGGCTGGGACCCGTCTTCGTCTTCTCCGACAACGTGACGTTCGCGGACGCCTTCTACTACCTGGGGCGGCTTGGTTTCGCCTCCTGAGTTCCCGCGACGAGGCCTTCTGAGGCATCGCGAACTGTAATTAGTTTCTCTCCAGCGCTCGACGATGACTTTTGTTTCATTGCCGCTTTTCCCTGCTTTTGGTCAGGGGTTGTAGTGTGAGCTTTGAGGCTTGGCCCGCTGCTCTTTAGGCCTGTCACTCCACCCAGCACAGTTCGGGTGCTTGTGATTTTTGTGGGCCGTTTTCACACCGACCAGACGTGACAGACAGGACTCTCGGCCTGCGGTGCGTGCTTGCGCGTGACGATGGGGTCGGGAGAGCGAGTGAACCCTCAACCTTTAGGGTGCAGGGTGTGGGGTTTAGGGTGCAGGCTGCAGGGTTAAGAGAAGGTGTGGTTTATGGGTGTAGGGTTTGGGTGCAGGGCTTGGGGATGCAGGGTTTGGGGGTGTAGGGTTGGGGGTGAGGGTATATAGGGTGTAGGGCTTGGGGATGTAGGGTTTGGGGGTGTAGGGTCTACGGGTGCAGGCTTTGGGGTGTGGTAGGGTTTAGGGTGGGGTGGTAGGGTTTGGGGGTGCAGGTTTAGGGGTGTGGGGTTTGGGGGTGTAGGGGTGGGCGGGCGGGGGCGGGCGGGCGGGCGCGACTGTTTGACAAAATCGGGCCGGAAAATCTTATTGAATCTTATGAAATCTTCTTGAATCTTATTTTTTCACGTCACGAAGCCGCAGGTGATAGGCGGAAAAGGATTTTTCGTTGGCAAATCGCAAATATTCGCCACCGTTTCCCCCCCTTCCCCCCGAGCGGCCCCCCAGGGGGGGAGGCCAAGCAGGGGGGGAGACCCCCCCGCTGCGCCCCCCCCCGTGGAAGCGAGATTGGTTTTTTAAACTTTACAAACTTTGAATCCAAATCTTATCAGGAAACACTTTTAGAAAGTTTTGTTGACCCAGCCCGAGTGTCGAAATCTTTTAAAGACTTAAATTTTTTTGCTTAAAACATATACCGAAAAAAATTATTTGTCTGTATTTGTCCAGATTTGTCTGTATTTGTCCAGATTTGTCTGTATTTGTCAGGATTTGTCTGTATTTGTCCGGATTTGTTTTTATTTGTCCGGATTTGTTTTTATTTAATCCGGATGTGTCGTTATTTGCCCGGATTTGTCTGTATAATTTCTCCGGATTTGTCTGTATTTGTCTTTATTTGTCCGGATTTGTTTTAATTTAAGCTGGAAGTGTCTTTATTTGTCCGGGTTTGTCTGTATTTGTCCGGATTTGTTTTTATTTGTCCGGATTTGTCTTTATTTGTCCGGATTTGTTTTTATTTGTCAAATCTGCCGAACAAGCCTTGATAAACTAAGCCCTGATATTCTGGAGTCCTTGCTCGTCTCAATGAATACAGCTCCTGTGAACTGCTATGATTCTTCCTAGATGACAACCATGGTTGCTGCTTGAGCTTGTCAACATAAGTACTGCGAGAAGGGTCATGACGACGAGGACGACGAATATTGAGCTAATTCCTTCAGCTTGTGTCGGCAGTGCTTGTGTGCTGCTGTTTAGGTGTGGAATTATGTTTCTCTCGTTCATGCTACTTCTGCAATCGCAATACATCAAGACAACGGGTTTTGTGATCGGTACGACCGGAACCGGCGGCAGCATTGCAAAAGCCACGTGTTTTGTCTGTGTCCCTTGCTACTGATACTGCAGCCTGAGCGGCTTGAACATCCACTGGGCCGACTGCTAATCACGGACCTCATGTGGCGTCTCCGACAAGTGCGAGACTGCGCGAACGGAAATCATCCCTTGTGACGAAGCCCCAGAAAAGTGGCTTAATCAAAGACTGAGCAGTCAATCAAATAGTTGATTGATTCAGCTCACGGTCACGCAATATAACCATGATTGCTAAACTCATCAAGTAGCTAGTCAACGAAATAATCAGCACATTATCTCCTGCAGGACTCCATGGGCCTGAACTGGACCTCCATACGGCCGGTCTACATCTACGGCCCTCTAAACTACAATCCTGTGGAGCGGTACTTCTTCGACCGCGTCACACGTGGACGACCGGCGTCTGGGATGCAGGGCTTGGGTATAGTATGGGGTGTAATTAGGTAGGTTGGGGCTTATCATATTTGGGTTACAGATGCTGCTAGCCTTGTGATGCGAAGCGATAGGGTAGGGAATCAAGTCGGCTCGGTTCCGGGCACCCATTCTCTGGATTCTGGTAGGTTTGATGTTGGTTCCTGGACGTCTGTGTAGGCCCAACTGATACAAGACATATCAATATTGGTGTGATTCAATAGCAATCGACCCTGCATCGTAGGTTCGTCCTAGCCAGGCGGGAGGCAAAAATATTGGCTGAGAGCAGGTCTGCGTACCTTATGGTGGCAAGTACATCACACAGCTCGGCCACTGCGAAGATTTGGCAGATTTCATGGCGAAGTGCGTGGGCAATGGTGCCCTTTGGCTCAGCTCAACAGTTGTTGCCCGATTGTTCATAAGGGAGTGTGTCCACCACTCCCATAGAGCACAGCTCCATGATGCGGTCTGCTCCATGATGCTCCATGGTTCTTTTTTGTGGGCTTGTGCTGTTCGTTGCGCGGGCTGCTGTCTATTCTTCGACTGCATGTGTACAGGCGGTGGCCCGCCAAGTGTACAACATCTCCAGCCAGGCTCCCTCTTAAAAAAGTCCCTTTGAGGTTTGGTCCAAGATGGTGATTTTGTTGGGCGGGGCCTGTGTCTTAGAATCTCCGAACCATTTCTAGGACCCAAGGATGCCGACGAAGGGTGAGGAAGGCATCAAACTTATGCTGCGTCCCCGAGACATTCCCAACAAAGCGTGTCGGTCTCCTGGTCCAATCTGAAGTCAACTCCCAAGCCAAGATTCTTGAGACGTGGTCCTCCTACAGTAGCAACCTGTAAACACTAGACTTTGTGGCATTTACTCGTCTATAGCCACGCAGACTCATACTGCAGCCTTCTATTCACATCTACCGCATTTCGTCGGACGTGATCAGACGCAACCACGCAACTTCGAGTGATCTCACGTCGAGCGGGCAGACATACCGAAGCCGAGGACTTCGGACATCTTAGGACAGCCCCACACCTTTGTGCTCGAATGATGCATGCAAGCCAAACAATTCGTAAAATGAGGACACATGCCCGTGGGAACGCCGTGAAACACTCAGGAATCCTGCGACGAACTGGAAAAGGGCTACCAAACCCGAGGCAGTAAAAGCTAACAAAGACAAGCATTTTCCGGGAATACTCCACCCTAACATTAGAAGTAGGACCTGCTCCTTAACATAAAGCATCAATCACAGTGTACACTTCATGGGGAAACTCCCCACACAGGAAGGTGACACGGGTTTACGTAGGAGCACCGCTGTTCAGGAGTATGTCACCTTCGACGGTATGGCCAAGCTTTGCTCTGAAGCAGCCGGAATGGGGCAGCCGACGATTGTCCACTACGACCCGAAGACGATCGAGGTGTATCGCCTTGACATGCGAAGAAGTTCCATTTCCATGTTTTGAAGCCTGTACAAGGCTTTACCTAGTCCTAAGCCCTAGGTGGGTTGCCTGACTTCACGGTTCCTGTCGAGGATTCGGGTGTGCCGTAGCTACAGCGGAGGGCCTCGAGAAGCAGACTTGTATGGTTAGTCGTGCTGCAAAGCACGCGCGGCAGCGTCAGACGGGGAAGAACGGCATGAGTTGTCGTTGTCGCGCCACTATAAGTGCCGGAGTAGTCGTTGGAGGCGAATTTGTCATAGGCATCCTGTCGTTGAGAGGATTTCGCATGAGATCTTGTCATGTTGACTTTTGGTTTCTACGGTGTGGACATAACGTTTGGGCCAACATGCGTGGTCATGAGGTTTCGTCATCAGGCGAATGCTAGTTTGTGAAGTACGTCTAGGAATGTGTTCGCGGCATGCTGACCCGCCTGTTTTGATTCCATGAGATGTTTTTGCAGCAAGACGTATGTGCCAGCCGGGTAATCAGCAGGAGCAACAGCCGTCCGATTTTCCTGCTGGCGACAGCCATTTCGCCTTTCCCCGACGAACCTTCCGTGGAGTCTGCTTTGGATCTCGCGGATTGTCTCGGGAAGAGCCGGGGAGCATTTTTGTTAAGGTCAGAGTCGCCTCCATGAAAAATTTTGCCGAGAATCCGAGCACTACGTTGGCCGAAGTGGCGCAGCATCAACACCCACGCCAAATGGGTGAAGGGGCAGGGGCAGGGGCAGGGGCAGGGGCAGCGGCAGGGGCAGGGGCAGGGGCAGGGGCAGGGGCAGTAGTGGTAGTGGTAGAAGATGGTAGAAGTAGCAGTAGCAGTAGTTGTAGTAACTAGTACTAGTAGTAGCAGTAGTAGTAGAAGAAGTAGCAGCAGCAGCAGTAGTAGTCGTCGTCGTTGTTGTTGTAGTAGAAGCAGCAGTGGTGGCAGTAGTAGTATAGCAGCAGTAGTAGAAGGTATTAGGAGCAGGAGGAATAGGACTAGGACACTCGGAGTAGCGGCAGTCGGAACAGGAGAAGCTGTAGCAGTAGAGGCGGCGGTAGTGATAGCGACAGCCACGCAATCGTCACACGCAAGGTGCTGCCGCCCTCATGTGTGCACACGTAATCATGTTTTGTACACACATGAACAGTACACATGTTGTTTGCATGGGCTTACAACATGTCGTATGAATGGGCGTACCTACATTGACATGTTATGCTAGTCTATGTCATTTCATGTATGCGAAGCCCTATTATCATGTTGTTTCAGGTTTGATATGTCGCTGCCTACATGCATTATAGGGCCTACATGCATTTTAGGGCCAAGTGGCTCGTGCAACGCACAGACGCGTTTTCTCAGGTGCCTGATGGCTTTCCGAAAGCTTTCCCATTTCGCGGAATGCATTTCTTTGCTTCGATCGAGAAGGCAGGAGCCTCGGCGAGCCTGGGGATGTGTCGAGTAGGTGGTGATTGATGGCTATAGATCCAGGACAGGACCGCTGCATGCATGTGCTGCGGCGTAATATTATCGGGTCAAGAAAGAAAACGTGAGCTTAGGGTTGAGGAGGTTGAAGGAAGATGGAGGAGTGGAAGGTCTGGCTAGACTCGATTGAGCCAGTGGTAAACGGAGCTTGAAGGATGGATCACAGGCTTTGAGGGCTCAGGGGTCATAGCTGCAGGCTGTGAGAGGCTACAGGCGAAGGATTTCCAACGGAGCGTTGCAAGGACGAGCTGGGATTGGTTAAGGGTCAAGTGTGGCAAAACCTTCAGGGTTGGAGTGCTTGTGGCCTTAGGGTTTCTGCCCTGAGCCAAAACCCCAAAGTGGAAACTTCAGATGCGCCGGCATCTGTGATTTGCACGCACTGAAGCACAGGAATCGCCTCGAGCGACATTGAGCGAGAGCCCCAAGACTAAAGGATCTGAGCACTTTGGGGTTTGGGACATCGGGTTTTGCTGTATCAAACCTTGGGAGCCCAAATCATTACAGGCTAGAGGCTAGACGAGCAGCCTAGCTGGCACAGCACAGCACCGCTAAAGCCCGGTAGAGGTTCACTGCCATTGGTTTCTTTGCATTTCTGTGCGGAGTGCTAGATTGCAGCGCAGGCCAAGAAGCACATGCCGTCATGGAAGCCCAAGTACAGCATGCCCCTCGGGCCTTGGGCATTCGGCGGACGGGTATGTGACCTAAAACCCCAACTCTCTTTTTTTCTATCTATCTATCGATCGATCTGTCCATCTATCTATCGATCTATTTATCTATCTAGTCAGAGTCCTCGGCTGGAGCGGTCCTACTGGGATTGGTTTGATTCTCGAAGATGCAGCTTCAGGCAGGATCGGAATCGGTTTGGCGATTTCGCCTGCTTTAGCTCAGGCAACTACTAAGAAGGAGCCCAAGGGGCCCACCGATGCGATTGCTTGTCAGAGATAATATGTGCCAGTTGAATAGAAGAGAACATAGACCATTATACATCACATAATACCGATTAGTGAAACATGATATCTTACGGCATATATACATATAAGGTATAAAAGAACGGAATCGAAAATACAATACAGTACGATGCAGCATATAGTCGAATAGATCAGAAAAGAATACCTTAGAATATAGTAGAATACATAGAACTGGATGCAATACTTCAATACAACACAATATCGCAGCTTATAACAGATAAAGCATAAGATACTGTACTATAATATAAACTACAGTACAACTTGCTATCTTATTATAAGATGGTACCGCATAATATGCTACAGTCATTGACGATGCCAAGCGGGAGCCAAAATAATATAGTATATTCTAGTTTCATGTTGTATCACAGAAGGATAAGATAGTACTACACCACACAACATAATAATGCTGCAAACTGAGGTGGTATAACGCAACAGAACACATCGCAACATAAAAAGCATAATTTTGTATGGTAACCATCAGATAGTCGAGCATGATGTAATAATCGTATAAAACTATATGTTTTGATTCCATATAACTTGAAATATATACCATAATATATAACCGACTAAAATAGAACAGAATTCATTCTATTCTATATGCTATAATCTAATATGAGCTTTGGAAAAGAGGCCCGAGAGGCCATGGACTCTGGTGTGGTAAGTTGTCACCTGGCTTTTCCATACGACTCACCGGAGGTCCTCCTGTGCCCCCATCAAGAGGCACCTTGAAGGTGTAGGTTCCTAACTAACACCTATACCTTCCTGGGTCTGTACGTCCACAAAGGTTTGCGAAGGATGGGGCCCGCTATTCCGACAAACTAATGTGGTTTAGCAGTTTAAGGACTTGGGGACCCTTAAAAACATGTATACATTATGGAGTATATATCATTCAGTACAAGATATGTATTATATACGATATTTGTTTGCGCTGTATATTTTATCTTATATAATCATATATCTGAATGAGCGCAGGTTTCAGGGGCTGAAAAGCTCCTATGCGCCTCGGCGAAGCACTCGAAGAGATGTCGCGCATCGATAGCTCTTTAGCAGCTGTCGCGTCTCCACTAAGTGTAGTCTAGCTGTAGTGGCGCATCAGATCACATTCAGCAAGGCTCACAAGATGCAGCTGAGCCGCCGAGCCGGGAGTCATGAGCATCAACCACCGAACGAACATGACTGGCGTCACCTGTGCAGACCCCGTGAAACTCTCGGCAACCGATCCAACCGAACTCGAGCATGTCTTTATTCTCCCTAGTCATAGTTGTTGTCAGTATTGCTATTCTTGCTGCTACTTTGTTTTGAGCATTAGCGGTGCAGGTTATTACACCGAATCTTGCTTGAGACAGCTGCCTAACACTCGGCAAAATGACCTGCCGAACCTAGGCATCATCAATAGCGCAGGGCATAGTGCTGCTTTCGGCGATCGCACCAACGAACCCAAATATCACGGCAGGGTCTTCTGCAAGATCGAGTTTCGGTCATGTGTAAGACAGGTCTTCTGCTACACAAGGGGTTTAGGCCCCCTAAGTTTGAAAAGGCTTGGTAACGCCTTCGGATTGAGCATCTTGTTCATGTTGGCCAAGGAGCAGGACTACCTGGCGAGGGGTTTCGACAAGAAGGATCCTGATTTCCGGACAGACGATCTGATTTTGCAGAAGGCACATTGGGCTGGCTGGTGATTGTTTGTCCTAGTGCGACCACGAAGGGTGCTGCAGGTTGCACCATGAATGCTTTGGCTGTGCCGTAAAGATATACCGAAGCTCCAACAACTGGACATTTGCAAGCGTTTGAGCTCCAAAGCAGGCGACTTCACTTGCCTTGGTTTGGCTTGTTGCTAGTCAAAAGTGCGATGCCTGCAGTGGCATTTCGGCAACCTGGCAGGTGGGTGCTCCAGCATCTGGTGGCTCTGTCAGCTCTTCCGGGACATCAGGCAGATGCCCCCAAGGGGTGGTGAACTACATACTTTCGCAAGCGTGGCCGAGCAACGGGTGTCAGAGCCCCTCGAGTATTCAAGTAACGAAGCAGCACGAGTGATGCTTGAAATGCCGACCAGGTATGTCACCTGGAGCGCTGAAGTACTCCAGTGGCTTCGAGTACGCCTACCAGCGCAATTCTTATGCAGACCTGGAGTTCGGAAACGATGTTGGGTATCTACCAGATGGAACAGCTCTGAACACAGCCGGCAACTGCCTCAACCACCCAGAGACCATTCAGCCCGATCGTCACACCCCTGGGTCCCCGCTCCCGCGTGCACACTTCCACAACGATGTGGGCTACTTGCCCGATGGAACCCCGCTCAACAAAGCTGGCAATGCCATCAACCATCCTGAAAACATCCAGCCAGACCTTCATGTACCGGGCTCGCCGCTTCCGGCGTCGGGGTTCTCTGCAGACGTCGGCTATTTCGTTGACGGAACACCTGTGGAGTTCGCTGGCAACAACTTCCGCGCAGACAATGCGGTTTCGCCGAAGGCACATTGGGCTTGCTGGCGCATGCTTGTCCTAGTCATTCTAGTGCGACCCCGAAGCGTACTGAACATGTATGCACTGCAGCTGGACTTTTGCAAGCGTTTGAGTGCTGCAACAAAAGCGACTTAACTTGCCTTGGTTGGCTTCTTGCGAAGATTTAAACTTGTGATGCGCGCAGCGGGCTTTTCGGCAACTTGGTAGGCGGCCGCGCCAGCATCTGGTGGCTCTGTCAGCTCTTCCGGGACATCAGGCGCAGCTGTCAGCAAGGGGCAGTGCATGTCAGAGCCCTATCAAGCAAGGCAGCAGCATAAGTGCGTGTAGCAGTGCTTGTCAGGTTCAGCACCTGTTGCAATGAACGGCACGCTAAAGTACTCCAGTGGCTTCGAGTACGCCTACCAGCGCAATTCTTATGCAGACCTGGAGTTCGGAAACGATGTTGGGTATCTACCAGATGGAACAGCTCTCAACACAGCCGGCAACTGCCTCAACCACCCAGAGACCATTCAGCCCGATCGTCACACCCCTGGGTCTCCGCTCCCGCGTGCACACTTCCACAACGATGTGGGC